TAGAGCTGGCACATAAAGTTTAATAATGGTGGCAAACCTTTTATGCCATTGCACTATTTAATGTATAAGTTACGTACGTACGTACATACGTACAATTTTATAATTTTACTGAAACTATTATGCCGAAATTACAAACTTAACCGAATCGGCCTAAAAATCATTCGACTAATTTTTATCAGGTGTTTCAGGAATTATGATAATAGCTGTAAACAAAAAATTTCTAATTAACTCTTCACAGCTCCTAATTTTTGATGTCTATCTATATGCATGATTCTTATATTCATATAATTGATTTGCCCAAAAAACTATTCAAAAATGTATATCTGATAAAATTGGAAATTATAATAGAATATAGTATACAAATCATGTTAAAGCAGAGTTCTAACCCATTAAGCGTTTATTCGGATAATTATTAGATATCCGTTATCCGTTCTTAATTTATCCGGATATCTAGTTACTATTGATATCTGAATTATACAAATATTTGTTGGAATTATCCGGATAATTCAGAAACGGATAAATGGATGACAGATTTATCCGGATTGAAAATCCATGTTAAGGTCAAATTTTCTTTTTAGTCAGCTTCTAGTGACGCAATGTCAGTGATCTAATTAATGCATTATCTATATTATTGATCAAAATTCAAAAATAGGACTCATCTTTATCTAGAGACTAGTGGTTAAAAATAGTAAATTTAAAATTTGCTAATACTCTATAGATTATATCAATGATATAAAAATTTACCAAGAAAAAAGGCAATTATTTTACAACAGTTTTCATAAATTCTGGGACATTTGGCAAAAAATTAACCACCGAATATTTGCCGATTCGTGATTTCGGTAATGACAACTACCGAATCAAACTTATCGAATCGGCAAATAAATTCGGTCGTTCAATTTTTTGCCAGATATCCCAGAATTTACGAAAACAGCCGTAACGTAAATAAAACTTTATTTTAAATTTTATAATAAAGTATTATTATTTCAGATTTTGACCTTCTAACTGCTAGCCTCATTTTTTAAATTTTGTTCTTTATTTTCTTGTTTAAATGGTTGTACCAAATACGTATAAAGATACCGGCGTCTAATTATTAAAGAGATTTACAAAATATTTACATGATATAAAAAATTTTCTATTACAAATATCAATTATTTAATTTATGTTCAATACAAATATCTACCCTAATTATCTCTTAAAACAAACTTCTGATCAAATTGTTTTTGTGCCAACACAACTTAAATGGTAAGTCACAATATAAGCTTTAAGTAATATTATTACTGGCTAGATTATTTGCATAGGGCTTTTAGAAATACTTAATTATTACCTTTTCCTTATTGTTGTTTTCTTTTTTTTTTTAGCTTGGTGAAATAACTCCTGTAAAATTCACATCCGTGTCGGCTGAAACTGATAATCGGTTTAAAAAAAAATTTAAAACGTGATAAATTCTAAAGGCTCATCCAAAACATTAACATATGCTGAAATTTTCTGACGCTAAAGTTTGGACCTATTTTAATATGAAATTTTATAATTTTTTCTTTTTGTTTTTAGTAGGTTTTTTAGAACTAGATTAGAATTTAGAGTTTCTGTAGAATTAATAATTAAAGTGTGTGGATTTTACGCAGTGGGTCTAGATTTCAATTAAGGCTTCAAATTTGACATCAGCCGATTTTCGCACAATTGCAACGTTAGATAAATTTTTTGCGTGCAAATATTGCTTGAAAAAGTCTGTTATTTGAGAGAAATAATCATTCATACGTAATTTTAAAAAGATAATTAATAAACCGGTTTAAAGTTTCATTTTAACTTAAATATGGTGCACAAAATTTCAGATAATGTAATCTGCTTATCTTGAGATTGTTTTTTGTTAACTGTGAAGTATGTTATATGAAACAGATAGGAACGGCAAATCTCCAGTTTAAAATGATCCAGAAATTGTCATAATTAAACTAATTAAAAAGGAATTCCGGCTTAAAATGAGCAGAAATTGTCTTAATTAAACTAACTAAAAGGGAATCTCTAGCATTTACAATGAGATTTGTGTACTGTTTAGAATACATTGTAGTGACGTGAAACATTTATACCAGAAATAGAGTGATGTAATGTCAGAGTATGACACTACGGCGTTTTAACGACTTTCTTGAGCAAAAATCTCAAATCTGACTGGACAGTATATTATATGCTGTATAAATGCAAGATTATGCACTTTAAACTTTCGCTATATTGCATCACATAGCACTACATTTAAATTTTACAATAGCGCAGATTCTATTTCGAACGCGGTTTCTAAATTTCGATTAGTATGATAGCCAATCATTTCTAAATTTATTAAATTTATTTAGAGTTACAATTTTAATTTCCAAATTGGGTATTATTTACGTTAGGCCAACGTAGCTGTTCTAGAATTTTTATGTTACTAACACAAAATAAGAAGTTAATTCATCGGTTCGGATTTACTAATTGTTCCATGATTCGGTAAAGATGACAAGATCAAGTGTAACGTGATAATTTAAAAAGAAAACAATGATTTTTTTTTTTTTTGAAAATTAAAAGAATTAATTAAATGTTAAATTCAAAATTTCGCCAAGAAACCACCTTTTTATGCGCTAAACAATTTCTTGGCATAATACTGCCTACTAACATAATTTCTAAATAAAATTCCATATTTTAAAAAAAATGTGACAAGCAAATTTTTCTAATAATCTTATTCAATTGAAATAAAAGGAAAATTAGTAAATTTCATCCGTTCTCAGTTTGACGTGAAAAAGTCACACTGTTGCTTTATATAGTAATATTATGATTCCAAATGGGTCCTTGGCTAAACCTATTTTAATGACGAAATTGACTAATCGATATTCCTTTTGTTGGAGTTTTTTTTTCAACATACAAGTGCTTAACGAGTTATTCGCGTAAAGATACGAATATGGACCAATCTTACATTATGTTAAAAAAACAATATTCATCGTTTTTTTTGGCACTTGTTATGATATGTATTACACGTACAGTTTTTGCGGTTGAAGTGAAAACTTCACTTGGTCTAATTCCTACACCTGATATACCTGGTATTCCGAAAGAAGGAAATGATTATTCAAAGTTATTGGCTTATTCTTTATATTTCTATGAGGCACAAAGAAGTGGTGCCTTGCCTCCAGATAATCGTGTATCTTGGTAAGGTTTAACTTTTGTATAATTTTTCTTTTCTCGAATATAAGTTTTATCTTATCAACCTTCATTTTTACCATTAGGAGACATAATTCTGCGCTTGATGATGGGAAGGATAGAGGCGTGAACCTAAGCGGGGTGAGTTTCATTATATTAGGAACCGAGTGATATAATTACTGGCATTTTTGATGATAAATCACATGACTGATCGAACAATGCGTAAAATGCAGGGAAAATGCACTTAAACTTCACAATACATAAACTATATTTATATATTATGTCTTTACGTTTATAATTTACGTAAATGAAAAAAAATTTTGACAGTTTTTATTAACGTTAAAGGCAGTTTCTAAATTTGCTACCATACAGGTTTTAATATCTCGATTTGCATTGCTAGAGATAATCATTTCTAAATTTACCTTTTGATTAATACAACCCATTTTCGCATCAGAATTTAATTTTGTTTCTAAATAAATCATTACGATTAGTTATTATTATCATCGTTATGTGTATTAACACGTTCCTGGTTTTTTGTGCGATAACGTCACGATACGCGTATACTATATATAAATATATATAAATAAATATAAATATATACATATATATATATTTATATATGTTATATGTTTATATATATAATAAAAATAATAATAATTTAATTTATTTATCTAAATAACGTCTAGGGTTATTACGATGCTGGTATATATATATTTTTTTTACAAGTTGATATCAAATAACTTCTTGCATATTAAAATAATTTTGGTTTATAGGCGATTACGTAAAGTTCACTTTGCCATTATCATGGACACTGTCTGTCATTTCATGGTATATAATTGTCAATTTTGTTCAACTGAACTTCATTTTCTCTTAATTTTTATATTATATACTTTTTATTTAGGGGTGCAATCGAATGGTTTGATGGATATCAACTTTCAAATCAAACTGGATATCTTCATGATATGATCAAATGGGGAACAGACTGGTTGATTGAATCCCATACTAAACCTGATCAACTTTTCATCCAGGTTGGTTCAAGTACTGTTGATAATAGATATTGGGGCCCTGATACTAAGTATGTATAAAATTTTCCTAACTGTTTAATCGTTTAACCGTTAAATTCAGCCGGCATTAAAATTAATCTGGCCTATAATCAACCTAATTCGGCCCGGAACTATAAAAAATTTTTTATGCGGTTAAACGGTTCCAATCCCTAATTATGTATATAATATATTTTAATTACTATCAATTATTTATTATTTTTTTTGATGATAGTATTCCGGATCCACGTCCTTCTTATGATATTAATTCAACAGTACATGGTACAGATACAGCCGCAGAAACTGCTGCGGCTTTTGCTTCCTCAGCAATTTTATTTCGAGATTTTTTTAATGATACTGCTTACGCCAATACATTAATGGCTCATGCTATAAACATTTATTCTTTTGCTGAAACTCCAAACCTAACATTATCTACAATTACATCTAATGGAATCTATGGATATAGTACTTCAGAATTCTATGACAAGTTGGTTTGGGGAGCTCTTTGGTTATATCGTCTCACTTATCAGTCTCAATATTTAGATAAGGCAATAAATTATTATAATTTATACAAAAACAAATCACATGCTACAAGAGTTATGACATGGGACGATCATATAGTTAAATATTTTTTATCAATTTTTTGATTCTTAAAAAAAATTTTTTTTTCATTATTAAGATGTTCTAACCTTCATTCTTGACTTAAAATTTAGGGTGCTTGTAATATTTTATTCGCCCAAACATTCTCTGATAAATCAAATGCCAATTCTACTCATTGGAGTAATGTAACTGAAAGTTACTTGGATGATTTAATTACAGATAATAAAACTTGTAATTATACAAATGGTGGACTTTTATGGTGTGTTAGTGATAGTCCACAAGATTCAATACCTATTTCTCTTTATGGATCTTTTGGATTTCTTATGTATTCATCTTACGCGTCTACCACAGAAAAAGCTACCAAATATAGAAACTTCGTAGCTTCACAACTTAATTATTTATTTGGTGATAACCCTATGAAAATGTTTTATATTGTAGCTGTTCATCCAAATTCTCCTAAAAATCCTCATCATGCTGGTGCAAGTGGAGGAATAGATGTAGGAAATTTAAGTGACCCAGCTGTGACAAAATATCCTTTATACGGTGCTGTTGTAGGTGGTCCGGCTATGAATGATTCATATAATGATTTAAGAACAGATATTATTCAATCGGAGGTATTTTTTTTTTTTATTTATATTTAATGTTTTACATTTAAATGTTGTAAGTGAGAATGAACAAACATATGTTAATTTCCATTATATAAATATTTTTTATTATAAAATACAATTAAATTCCACCTAAGTTTCATTTTCACTTACAACATATATATATTTAACGCATAATTTCTTAGCATACAATGTATTTATTAATATATATTTTTTATCATTATATAGGTTGCAATTGATTATAATTCCGCATTTCAAGGTATAATGGCTTATTATGTTATGGACACGTATGTCCCACCAGACCAACTGCCGAATGGATCAAAAAATCCAGAAAATCCAGATGCAAATTCTATATCAACATTTCAAAATCTAAAAACTATAATTATAATTGTTGCCTGTAGTGTTTTCATCCTGTTATTAGTTTTAAGTATGATAGTGTACAAGTACAAAAAAACTGCTCTTTGTACAAGAAATAATCAAGAAAAACTAAGTGATCTTGAGAAGAATAATAAAGAAAAACACCAGAAAAAACTAAAAGATCTTGAGGAAAATAATCCGAAAGAATTGGGAGATCTTGAGGAAAATAATCTGAAAGAACCAGGGACTCTTGAAGTTCTTGAGGAAAATAATCAAAAAGAATCAAGCGATGTTGAGAAAAATAATTCGAAGGAACCAAGCGATGTTGAGGAAAAAAGTCAGAATGAACCAAGTAATTTTAAGGAAAATAAACAAAAAGAACCAAACGATATTGAAGAGAATAATCAGAAAGAATCAAATGATCTTGAGGAAAATGAAGAACTGAGAGATCTTGAAAAAAATAACCAGAAAACACCAAACGATCTTGAGGAAAGCAAACAGAAAATATCAAGCGATCTCGAAGAAAATAACCAGAAAGAACCAGATGATCTTGAGGAGAATAATCATAAAATACCAAGTGATCTTGAGAAAAATAACCAGAAAGAACCAAACAATCTTGAGGAAAACAATCAGAAAATATCAAGTGATCTCGAGGGAAGCAATCAGAAAATGCCAAGCGACCTTAGGGAAAATAATCAGAAAGAATCAAACAGTCTTGAAGAAAATAATCAAAAAGAATCAAACAGCCTTGAGAAAAATAATCAGAAAGAATCCAGCGACCCTGAGGAAAATAATCAGAAAATACCAAGTGATCTTGAAGAAAATAATTAAGAAAAACCAAGTAATTTTGAAGAAAATAATAAGCAAACTTGATGAAAATATTAAGTGATTTTGAGAAAATAATCAAAAGTAAAACGTTAAAAATTCTGAACAAGTAATGATTGTATTACATAGTAAACTAAAAAAATTAGTGTATATAAATCATAGTAATTATTTTCTTTAGATCGCAAAAAATTTTAAGTTATCAATAATTGAATTGTAATAATGGTGTATAATAGATAAATAAGAGATCATGTATCTAATTATTAAAGATAAACTGTAATAAATATTTTTATATATTTTATTAAATTTTTCTAATTTTCTTAAAAAAAAAATAAGAAATTTATAAATTTAGGTTATACTGTAGACAAAAAAAAAAGTGATAATTTTTTTATCTTATTTTAAATATCTAACATGCAAAATCGTTGACATTGACCCATTTGAAAAAATCTGCACAGTGTTATTGAATATTAAAAAAAAATAAAAAAATATTTGCCGTATTGCGACATAATATTGTCGTATAATATAACACGTAGTCTTTCGATTAATACTCCTATTTTTAAGTTAGTCGTTTATTTCGTTTTCCATTGAACAATGTAAAAAACTTCATATTCGAACTTCATTATTATCTAAGTAAATTTCTTTCTCAAATGCACATCGTGTAGTAGCTTTAGATGAAGATGAAGATTTTATGATTTCTTTACTCTGTTTTAACCAATTTATAATTAATTAATTCAAAATTATTATATTAAGGGGTTTCAAAATTAAAATCAGAGAAACTTATTTTATTTTTCCGATTTATAATTCAACATAGTAAAAATACTATTGAAAAAATCCTACTAATTTTCGAAATGTGCCACTCATTTGTTAACTTTGAAACCCCTCATTGTTTATCTAGACTTACCTTTTTATACAGTAGAAGCTCCTACAGTGATTGTTGCGGTTCTTCGTTTCTAAACTGAAGGTAATGATGATTTAATAATGATGCTTTTGTACTGGTACGTTAACTACAGGAGCTTCATTGACACTTTCAACTCACATTATCATCTTCATTTCGGTTAAGGAAGGTTCGATAAGTGAAAGTATTAAAAACTCATGGATATGTTATTAAAAACGTTATACACATTTCAATAACGATGGTCAGATTTTTTTTTTTAATGGGTCAATAACATATACTGATTTTATTGTGGGTCAATAACGATGACCCAAATCAATGTTTTTGCATCTAAAATAGCACTTCAAATGCCTGAGGTAACAATAATAAATAAAATGATATCTAAAAGACAAAAGACACAACTACACATGGCTCTCGATATAACGGATCATCGATATAATGGATATTGCTTAATACGGAGAATTATAATAGAACCAAAATTATGACTTACTATAATATTTGATATATTATGAGATTTTGAAACCATGGCATCCGTTATATCAAGTGTTGTAAATTTACAGTAATCTTTAATTTTTTAATGTAAGTTATAAGCATGTAACTTGCATGTAATTTATAGTTATTGTGTGGGTATGTAGTGAATAACCCGTGTGTGTAACTAGATTATTCAATATCAGTCAGGGAAGATGTCACATATGTTTATATTTTTTTTGATTTTAAGGTGAAGCCTTGCTCATATCTTTATTAAATAATTTATAAAAGTTATTACATAGAGATTATATCAAGATTTAATTTGTATACAAACAAATACAGTATGTTGTAAAAAAAACCAGAAAATTTTTATATAATTTAGATTTGCATGATCTAAATATTTTTGGTTTTTTTTTTTTAATGTTAAAGGTGAGACCTCTAAATATTTTTGTTTAAATTTTTAATTACTAATTCTTATATAAAATTTAAAGGCAAAAGGTATATAATAAATTTTAAACAATTTTTATT